CAGCATTTTCTACAGTTCCTATGAATGATGTATTATTATTATTATTGATTATTCAATTTGTTTAACATAATACGAGTTACTAATCAAATTATACAAATATAGATCCTTATTTTCAATACAAAATCTTTAATCTGGTCTAACAAAGTAACTATACATAAATCTATGTTTTTTGTGTTTATTAAAAACAAATTTTAACTTATTAAATTTATCATATTTAAGACAGCTAGCGGTGCTTCTATTCAAACTCGTGCTGGACACTCCGCAGTTTTAAGTGAGAATAATCAAATATATACACATTATGTTGAAATATCATTTTTCAAATATACTTAAATAAAATTAATTGTTCGAAATTTAATATCTTTTTTATTAGTCAAAGATGGAAACATTATTATTTATGGAGGTTCGACTAGCTCTTTTCAAGTGTACCCTGATCTTGCAATTTTAAATACAAACACCTGGATATGGTCTATTCCGAATATTCCCGCAGTAAATGCACCACCACCACTAACCTACCACACTGCAAATTTATATGGAATTTATATGATAATTGCATTCGGTAAATATTATGGTTAATGTTAAAAATTTTTGGTTTAAATGCTTATCAAAGTTCCATAATATATTTTATTTTAGGTACAAAATCTCACCTAAATTTGAAAATAGTATTTATATTTTTAATACGGAAACTTATTCATGGATCACATCATTTGATACATTTGATACATCCAATAAAACAAGTAGTAATGGAGAGTCAAAATCAATAGATAGTAAAAATATTTCAACAAATCAGATAATTTTATTTGTTTTGACAGGCATTACTGGGATAATTTGCTTATTCTGTATTGTCTTGATTTATAAAAAGTATCATAACAAAAATGTTAAAAGCATTCCAACAGCTGGTAGTAATATAAATGATAAAGAAACATGCGACAATGAAGTCATATAATGCCAGCGCTGGTCAAATAGTTGGTTAATTAAAAGGTTTTGTTGGTTAATAATTGAAGTATCACTAGCCCGCAGACTAGTCAAATTTGTCAAATAGTCTGATTTATTAATTTAGTTATTCAATAAGATATATATGAAATTTATGTTTTTCTAGAATTTAGTTTTTTAATTTTTAATATTATGTTTTTGTTATTTTACTAGACAATGAATCTGTCATCCAACGACAAATTATATTAATCTATTTTTAATTAAGAGAAGAGTGTATGTAAATTATTTGTATTGAATTTTTGAAATATTTAAAATTAATATTATAAAGGTATAATTTGTATCAACATCATAGAATTTCGAGATGTACGATAAATATTTTATTAAAAAAAATTTTTAAAATCATATTTACATATTATAAAAAAATTACAAAGTATATCGATTAGTACAATTATTTCACCGCATCTTAATATTCACTGACAATTAACTTAAAACAAATTTATTTTACTGACAATAGCCAGAATTAATTTATCGGTGAAATAAGCTGTCAGTGTAATGAACCTGCCTATGAATTAATCGTCGGCAAATGAAATTACACCATTTCATAATTTTTCAAAAATAGTTATAATTTTAAAATTTTTGAAAAACAATAGAGAAAAAGATGTTGATAATAAACATTAAATTATTTTAATTTTTATTAGCAATACTGAGCTTTTGAACTACAACATCTAACATTAATGAATTTCAAATGAACTTGAAAATTTAACATCAGAAACAACTATTGAATTCATTATAAACATTACTCGTAATATTAGTAAGTATAAATTTTTTCACTTTAAAATAAATATTTCATAATAAATGATTCACACCCTTTTAACTAAATATACACTCTAATATCTAATGTGAACAGAATGTGCTGGCATAGATTTTTTTGAAGAATTGAAAACATTATAATAAAATATAGCCTAGTTCATTAGAAGTAGTATTGCCTGCTGCAATTATGAATTGCGACTTTTTTATAGCGCAACTAGAGTTGCAATTTATTGTCGCAATAGAAAGTGACATCGATAATATAATATATATGACCAATCTTGTAATAATTACAATATAAATAGGCTGTAAAAATTAAGTTGCGACTTTGCAGCAGGCAACATTAATTCGAAGCGCTTTTAGACTAAATGATGTTATATCAATCATTTATTAGATAAGTATCTTTATTATATAATAAATTAGCATTTTCTTAAGTGCACAAAGTAAAATACATACTCTTAACGTTCATGTCTATGGCGAGTACATTTGGGAAATTTGAATGTATTGTTTAATCAAATTAAGAAAATATTTTTAAATAAAATATTTTTGCTTAAAAATTTATTTAAAAATGTTTATAAATGTCATTTTAATATTTTGAAATCAAATACTGTCTTAGCTGATCAGTTGCATAAGTCATAAAAATTTCGAGTATGGAATATCTACAATGTTGATTCATAAAAGGACAAAGTCTTGCGAATTTTTATCATAACGTTATATAAGCCACTAAGGATTGTTAGATTACGCCGTAGAAAAGAAAAAAGGGATCACTTGCAGTATGGGTGACACCTATACTAAATCAATTGATTAATAATACATTTTTTAGTGAAGTCACTTATGCTGAAAGAGATTTGAAAAAGAAATTAATTTTTTTTAAATTTTTATGGGTTAACGAACTGAGGATAAGATTTACAATGAAGAAAACTTTTTTACAAAAATATATCTAAATAGATATAATGGGTAGTAGATTGTAATTTAACTTTCAACTCGTAAGATATTTAATACATACTGTACCTGTAAGACTTATTCTCATCTTCCATCTTTCATCTCAGCATTTATGTAAACTGATATTAATGTTGTGCATGAAGTTGAAACTCATCTAGAGTTGCAATTTCAAGCACCTGAAGCAATAATTGTAATTTTAAAGGTTTAATTCTATGTGTAACTTCAGATGTCTGAAGATGTAATTATATGCATATGCTAACTTCAGACACGATGTTAACATGACGTTTGTCATTACAACTTTTGTAAAATAACGACAAAAATATTCGAGTCGACAAAAATAGTGTCTTCATCAAGATATTTATTTCAGTCTCACAACATGTATTTATGCATTCATATTTTTTAAGATGGCTGGATTTAAGCTCATGAAAAAGGCGATGATTTAGGTGGTTAAGCATATCGAAATTCCTAGAATCAGAGGTAATATAATTGTAATCATAATGTATAACTATTACAAATAATACATTGAAAGTACAAAATCTTTTTCATTGAATTGGATTTTGAAAGGAAGACGAAGCATCTGATTAGATAAGGCTGTGTACGCTTTTTTTAAATCTCGTATTATAATTTCAACTTATTTAAAAATTCTCATTGTGGCAATGTAATTGATTTGCTGTAATTGAAGTTGCAACTTCGGACGTCAGCGTACAAGAAAAACCAATTTCAAGGGTTGATTTCATTCAAGTGCAACTTCAGATAGGTGTAAACTTCAAGCATAAAAGATTCATTATGAAACCTTATTGATTAAACATGTGAATAACTGACTGTTTGAAGTTAGTTTTCTATAATATTTTTTTTCTCGTCTATAATTAATTGCTATGTTATATTTAAAAAAATTTAAAACTTTGATGCTTTCCTCTTTTGTCCTGAAAATGAACTAACCTGAAATTTTAGCTAGGTACGTGCGTGCGTATATACGAATGTATAAACATTATCGTTAAATGCAAAACATTTTTTACCCAATCAAATTGTATTTAATCATTTTAATGAAATTATATCAGATATCCGATATCCAAATTCGTTAAATCATACTAAACGAAAGATCTATTGTAGCTACAGAATGGAAGAAGAGCACTGTCAATGTTTTATAATGAATATAAATGAGAATCAGATCATATAACACGACTATAAAGGCTTAGTAGTATAATAAACGGAATTTATATGTATATTATTGCACATCCCAAGAAAAAAAAAAGACTGTCTATACAGTGTACAACAAGTTATGACAGGTTTTTCAAATTACCTCAATTTGAAAAATTCATTATCAAATAATAACTATATATGTTACAATAAAGATTAATACAGATAAAATCTACGCTAGGTGCTCGAATTTCAGGGTATAATATTGAATTGTCTGGATACAGTTTTCAAAACTCTAAGTCAGGCCCTAATCCTCTTATCATGATTTTTATAAAAACTTGACATAAAGACTTGACTGCATAAATAATAGTAGTAGAAAATTTTCTAATTAAACCAAAGTTATTAAATCGTAAGTTAATATTACCACATGCATTGGTAAATTTCACAAATAAAGTTCATGATTCGTTCATAAATACCTTAGAGACTTTGGGATTATGTATTTAGGGATTTCATAGAGATAGCAGTGGTGATAGTGAACCAGCGATAGTCGGATTACATTACACATATATTAAGAATAGTCATTAACTAGCTCTCAGACCCGGGCGATGCTTTGGGGGCACGGTTTCATCTGTTTCTAGTTTTTAAAATTTTTTAAAAATTTTTTAGCTTTTATTAAAATATAATTTATATTAATAAAAATAGTCTATTTATTAAAAGCATTTATTAAAAGCATTAAAAAATTAATTATAAATGCTTAAGATATATGCTATAAAAATATATATTATATATAATTTATTATTAAATAATAATACAGTATAATAAAATTGTAATATTAAATCTTAAATGATAGATTTACCTAACTCTTCTTGATGATCTCTTGGTATAGTATTCTGAGTTGGTAAATATTTTACCAATTGATTAGTTGCCAACTATAGTTGCAACTAATTGATTGTTCACATTACGTGGTATCATCAGATAATTAGCCAATCAAACAAAAGAAATTAATACAGATCTGCCTAACCAGATAGAATTTCTCAGAATTGTACTAGTTGAATAATTAATCGATTAGTTGTTTAAAATTTTTTCAAATTGACTAGTTGGAAAGTTGGCAACTAGTTGGTTTCACTAACAATTTGGAACACTACCTTGACAACAACAACCAAAAAACTGAACTATGGAAAAATGCTA